TCTTTTTGCCTTTATGATTATTATTGTTGTTGTTAGGTGCCATCAAGACGGTACCAACTCATAGCGACCTTATGCACAACAGAACAAAACACTGCCTGGCCCTGGGCCAACCTCACTATTGTTGCTATGCTTGAACCCATCGATGCTGCCACTTGGTCAGTCCATCTCGTTGGGGGTCTCTCTCTTTTTCTCTGGCCCTCTACCTTACCAAACAGGATATCCTTCTCCAGTGACTGATCATATGTCCAAAGTATGACAGACGAAGTTTGGCCATCTTGGCCTCCAAGGAGCACTCTGGCTGCACTTCTTCCAAAAGAGATCTGTTGGTTCTTTTGGCAGCCCATGGCACTTTCAATATTCTCCTCCAACACCATAATTCAAAAAGATAAATTCTTCTACAGTCTTCCTTATTCACTGTCCAGCTTTCGCAGGCATATGAGGTTATTGAAAATACCATGGCTTGGGTCAGGTTCACCTTAGTCCTAATCCCTGCTTTTATAGTGCATTTTACCAGGGAGATTTCTAAAATTGTTATATTTTGTTTAGAAACATTATAGCATATCAAATATTAAAAATTAAGACAATTTATAAGGAAATTTATAAATGTACAAATTTCAAATATTATGTACATTTATATAAAATACAATCATCTAGAGGCCCTATATGAGTGCAGATAAAATTTTAAATTACAATTAAATAGTATATTATTTCTTTTGTTGTTATTGTTAAGTGCCGTCAAATCAGTTCCGACTCATAGTGACCTTGCGTTTGAAACTGACCTTGTAGTCCAACACATTAACCCACAGCACCACACCAGGACTCCAAAAGAGATAGGCCAGCAGCAGTGCCTAGGCACACAAAGCTGACAGCACTTGGTATTCCCAGGTGGTCTCCCATCCAAGTACTAACCAGGCCTGAACCTGCTTAGCTTCTGAGATCAGAGGAGACTGGAAGCATTCAGAGTAGTATGACTGGGCCATATTATTTCTAATCAGTTACTAATTTTATCATCATTTTATACTCCAGAAACAAAAATAATGAAGTAATAAGCTTTGTTATTTATCATTTTTTTAAATAAAAATTCCTATTTCAAAATATTTAGTACATCTTGAAATCTTTTGCTACCTTTGTTGTTGTTAAGTCCCGTCCAGTCGGTTCCGACCCATAGTGATCCTTTATAGGGTTTCTGAGGAGCAACTGGTAAGCTTAAACCACCGACCTTGCTGTTCAAACAACTTTACAGTCTGACGCATTAACCCACAGCGCCACACCAGGACTCTGCCATATTATATATAGCACCACTTAAGCGCCGCACCACTGAAAATCATGGCCCAACTACATTGACACATATTTGGGGGGGGGGACACACTTCAATCTATGTCAGTGCTGAAAGTAGAAATAGGAGTAAAGCATAATGCTTTCTGCTCTTAATGACATGCAATCCAGTGTTGTAAAGTTCATATTGTTTTTGACAAATTGTTATTCTGCATGCAAACAGTTTAGAACTCCCCATCAGCTAAGCTTCGAAAAGGCTGGAAAAGTTCAATAACACTCCATTTTAAAAACTAATAGCAATGGAAGTTAATTAAAGAGGTGATGCAATGTTTGGGCAATTTTAATGAAACAAAACAAACCACTCTGCTTAGCACTGTTGAGATATTGTAAAAGACAAGACTTTTTTCCTTGAAGAATACAAATCCTCAATCCTAATTCTGGGTTTTTCTGTTTGCTTTCAGTGAGGTCATGAAAATGAAGAAGAGGTATGAAGTGGGTTTGGATAAACTGGATTCTGCTGCATCTCAAGTAGCCACAATGCAATCAGAGTTGGAGGCTCTGCATCCTCAATTAAAAGTTGCTAGTAAAGAAGTGGATGAAATGATGGTCATCATTGAGAGGGAGTCTATGGAAGTTGCCAAAACTGAAAAAATAGTAAAAGCTGATGAAACAATAGCAAATGAGCAGGCTATGGCTGCCAAAGCCATCAAAGATGAGTGTGATGCTGACCTGGCAGGGGCTTTGCCGATATTGGAGTCAGCCCTAGCTGCCCTTGATACTCTTACTGCACAGGTAAGTGCACAGCCATACACTTGGCAGGAGCCATGTCATTGTGACTCAAGAAAGCACTTAACATTGTTAATGCTCAACATCTAGCTTGCCCCTCCAAATTTAGCGCAGTTGAGATCGTTTTCCAACTGACAAAAGGATTCCCGTATGCCTCTGAAAAGAAAAATGAATGAACTCAACTAAGACAACGTTGAAAAGGAAGAAAGCTGCCAGATGTCATACCCTATCATAAAACAAGAGTTATTACAAGAACTTTGCACTATAGTTACAGAGGAACAAGACTCAAGTATATATTTTATATACATAGGCTTGCTATGAGTCAATACCGACTCGATGGCACCCAACAATAACATATATTTTATTGATTCCAAGATTCACCTTTTTCTTTGCTCATTTTTTTCCTCATGGATGTGAGTCTGACCTTTCATTTTTATTTTCTTATTGTGATTAGGGTGAAATTTTACAGGGCAAATTGATTTTCCATTCAAGCATTCATACACATGTTGTTCTGTGACATTGATTGCTATCCCCACAATATTATATATCCCCATATAACAGTATTCTTCCCACTTCCTCCCTGTGTGCCTCTTATTTCCACCCACCCTCTTTCCTATCCCTTCCTGCCTTCTGAGCTTTCTTTCTTGGCAAATACTGTCCTTCTGACAGACTGTTCTAATGAGTGTGTACCCCTGATGGTATGGTTCATCTTATAGGCCTATCTTTTGGCTGAAAGTTGAGCCATGGGGGTGAGTTCAGTTCCAGCTTTTAAGTGAGTCTAAGAGTCATAGTCTCAGGGTCTACCTTTCTCTATTAGACCAGTAAGCCTATATTTTTGTTTTTTATGATTTTGACAATTGTTGAAATCCTTTTTTCTCCATGCTATACAGGACTTCCTACTTTGATTCCTTTCAGAGTATTCAGCAGTAGTAGCTGGGCACTGTCTGGTTCTGGTCTCATGGTTGTGAAAGCTGGAGTTCCATGATCCTTTGTTGTTGCTGCCTTGTTGTCACTGAATAGGTTCTGACTCAGTGACTCTGTGTAGTGTTCCAAGGAGCAGCTGCTGGGTTTGAACTATTGACTTCATGGTTAGCTGTCCAATACTTACCCTACAGTGCCCCGCCAGAACGCCTTTAGACTAATTGTTTCTTGTGTCTTTGACTTTCTTCACTTCTTTTTCATATTTAAATTCTCCTGTAATTGGAATATCTCTTACGACAGATGTCATAAAGTACTGTTTATCAGTGTATTTTTTTTTCCTCCTTAGTGATATGTAAATATGTCTTATAATAATTCAAAATAGGTTTGATGTAAAGTGCGGTTCAAATCCACCAGCCACTCCTCAGAAACCCCATATGGGTGGTTATGAATCAGAACCGATTCAATGGCACTTAACAGCAACAGCAAGTATTAGAAGTTAGGGTATGAAAAGGAACAATCTCAATTAAGAAATATAGGAGTGGATTTAAAAAAAAAAATAGTGTTGGGAAACTTGGTTAAATGTTTGGGAGAGGTAAACTGTAAAATGTTAAATCATTTCCCCACACCTTACTCTAAAATTAATATTGTTGTTAAGTGCTGTCAAGTCTGTTCTGACACATGGTGATCCTGTACAGGGAGGGTTTCCAAGGATTGGCTGGTGGGTTTGAATCGCCGACTTTGCAAGTAGCAGTCCAGTGCTTATCTTATTACACTAGGACCCCAAAATTGATTTCAGACTATTTAAATTTCAAATAGTCACATTATTATAAAATTGTAGAAAATATATATAGGTCAAATGTTGATAATCTTAGAGTTGAAAAGGAAAAAAATCAGACAGAAAACTGCTAAGCAATCATATGTGTAATGTAAATGCTCTGTCTACTCTCTTGTGTTTTTCATAATAAATAAAAATATTTTTAAAGACTAATGAAATCTAGTACCTAAAAGTTTGCAAATTCTGTTTGCCAGAAATCCCAGAGTCAGAATTTTAGAAATACTGGTAAAAACATTTGAAACTAATAATAGACAAAGGGTTGATATGTCTTTTGTGTGAAAAAAATCAATAAGAAAATATAGCTTTAAACTAGGGTTCTTGATGTAGCTCTGTAGGGTAAGCAGCAGACTGCTAACTGCAAGACCAGCAGTTCAAACGCATGGCTGCTCCTCAGAAATCCTAAGTAGTGTCTCTATGAGTGGGAACCAACTTGACAGCACTCAATAACAACAAAGTAGGAGAGTAAGTGATCTAAAGAGGTAATACACACAAGTGGTTGTTAAGTGCTGTGGAGTTGGTTCTGATTCATAGCAACTCTGTATAGGCTGTAAATCTTTACGTGAGCAGAAAGCCTCATCTTTCTCCCGCAGAATGGCTGATAGTTTGTAACTGCTGACCCTGAGGTTAGCAGCCTTATTTGTAACCACTATGATACCAGAGCTTCTTAGCGAGCTAAAAATCTCTACTTTGTGACATCCAGATCTTCCTTTGATATGTTTTGTAAGTAGACGTCAAAGATTCTAACATACGGTTGTTGTTAAGAGCAGTCCAGTCGGTTCTAACTCACAGGCACCCTGTATAAGATATCCAATGCTGTACATTTTCGCAGGAGCAGAAAGCCTCACTTTTCTTCCTCCAAGCTGCTGGTGAGCTCAAACTGCCAATCTTGTGATTCCTGATCCAGTGTTTACCCTTACCCTACAAAGCAACTATGCTCCCTAATGCAATCTAGGGAACTGCACATGCATTGATTTAGTCTTGTTTTATTTTTCCCTTGGGAAAACGTCTCAACAATTTTTGGTACAATGCTACCATTGTCAGCATTTCTCCCCAGTGAACAGAGAAGCTAACCTTCTGTATACTAAGATTTAGTCTGAAAATAAGAATCAACAACAACTTGCATTTCCTTTTTTTTAATTAGTGTGTTGTTATTTCCAGGACATCACAGTGGTAAAATCCATGAAGAGTCCTCCTGCTGGTGTCAAGCTTGTCATGGAAGCTATATGTATCTTGAAAGGCATCAAAGCTGACAAAATCCCTGACCCAACAGGCTCAGGAAAAAAAGTAGAAGATTTCTGGGGTCCAGCGAAGAGACTGCTGGGTGACATGAGATTTCTACAGTCACTTCATGAGTATGACAAGGATAATATCCCTGTAGCTTATATGAATATCATAAGAAAAAACTATATTCCAAATCCGGATTTTGTTCCAGAGAAGATTAGAAATGCTTCCACAGCCGCAGAAGGTCTATGCAAATGGGTCATAGCAATGGATTCCTATGATAAGTAAGTCCAGAGAAAAAGGAAATGAACTGGTACACTTTATTTTCACAGTTTGTAACTGAGAGCTTCCTCAGAAGATCATTTCTAATACCTGTTACATATTTATATTTTTACTGGGGCAAATTATACCAGCCGAAAGAGTATAAATGTTCTTAAATATTTTCTACTCAGGAATCCTTTCTACTCTTAAAAAACTATTGAAAACCTTAATGAGTTTTCATTTATTTACCATATTAGAAATTAAAATAAATTTTAATTATTAATTGTTATTAGAGAATAACAATGAACACATCACAAGCTGACATAAGTAGCTTACACAGTGTAACCTGTAAAACCCAGAACTTGACAGCCCTCCTTCGTCTTTCCAGTATCACAAGTTGTCTGCCCAGGACAGGTGGCAGTCTTCTATTGCTCTCCCTTAGTGGAAAATATATATGTTTCTTCCTCTGACTGGTTTCCACCTTACATAGATGTTGGCTTTACATGTACTTATTTTTAAAAAAGCTTTTTAGAAAAGGGTGGTATTGTTTTCTGTTTTTACACCTCTTTTACAGTACCTGGCTTAATTGAAGACAGCTGGACTCTGTTTTATTTGTTTTTTAATTTGGTCTGTTGTGATACATTGTTCTGATTAAAGTAGATGAAGAAAATCCTGCCCCCCACAGTTTGTTAGTTGAAAAAGGGAGGACCTCAGGATTATTTGCTCAGTATACAGATTGAATAGTATGGTGAAAGGATACAATCCAGACACACACCTTTCCTAATATGAAACTACATAGTATCTCCTTGTTCTTGGACAACTGCCTCTTGGTCTATGGCAGGTGTCTTATCATCATAAGTAAGGGTTCTAGAATTTCCATTCTTTGCAATGTTATCTATAATTTGTTATCTGCACTTTCTGATGTCTTTGCACAGTCAGTAAAACACAGGTAAACATTTTCGTGTTATTCTTTCTACTGTTACTTAATCTCCACCTGATAGCAGTTATGACATTCCTTGTTCCATGCTCTCTTCTGAATCTGGCTTGAGTTTCTGGCAGCTCCCTGACAATGCACTGCTGCAATCATGTTTTCTTTATTTTTAATCATTAAAAAAAAAATTATTGTGAATTGAATGAAGGTTTATAGACAAGATCATTATTAGCTTTACATTCAACAAACTGTACACTTCGTTTCATCTCAATGATTACAATCCCCTCCATGCAACCACAGTTATCCTGTTTCCTCTCTGTGATTCCTATTTGCATCCCACCCACCTTCCTATCCCTTCTCAATCCTGTCATTTATTCATTTCTTTCATTTTATTTTAATACAATCTGTTTTATCTTGAAATCTACTTGACTTTCTCACCATTTGGAATTCTAAAACTATACTTTTCCCTCTTTTTGCTTTGTAGTTGTCTTCATTGTATGTTGATATCTCAGATTCCCTCGTTTCAATCTTGTAGTTTTCCAACAAATCTGTGTTGGAAGAAGTACAGCCAGAATGCTCCTTAGAAGCCAGGATGGCCAAACTTTGTCTCTCATGTTTCAGACATATTCTCAGGAGGTACCAGTCCCTGGAGAAAGACATCATGCTTGATAAAGCAGGGGATCAATAAAATAGAGGAAGACCCCAATGAGATGGTTTGGCACAGTGGAAGCAGTAATGATTTCAATATAGCAAGTATTGTGAGGTTGGCCCAGGACTGGGCAGTGTTTCTTCTGTTGTACATATGGTTGCTATGAGTTGGCACTGACTCAACGGACCCCAACAACAGTTTTATATTATTCTGCATATTTCTACACCTGGATTAAATGCTGGGTGGTGTTACCGTGTATGTGAATCTCTGATTGTTGTCTGCTGTTGGTTCTCAATCCATGGACTCCCGTTAGTATTTTTTGTAAAGCTGATTTGGTTTCTACAAATTCGTTTAATTTCTGTTTCTCTGGAAGTGTTCCAATTTCGCTGTGTATTTGAGGGACAGTTTTCTGGACATGTGATCCTTAGATGTCAGTTTTTCTCTTTCAGAGTTTTGTATACGTCTCCCCATTGCCTTCTTGCCTGCATGGTTTTCCTTTGTAGATAACATTCCATTTTTCCTGAGCTGCTTTCAGGATTCTTTCCTTGCCTTTGATTTTGGAGAGCTTGATTATATGTCTTGACAATTTTCTTTTTGTGTCTGTCCTGTTTGGGGTTTGTTCACTTTCTTGAATGCCTATCTTCTCATATTTCATGATGTTAGGGACATTTTCTTCCAGCAGCTCTTCAACTATCTATTCTGTGCTTTTCTTTGTCTCTTCCTGTTCTGGAATTCTGATCACCTATAAGTTATTCTTTTCTGTTTCATCCCACGAGAATCTTAGGCTTTCTTCAGATTTTTTCATTCCTTGTTCTGATTGTTCTTATAGCTTATATATAGTTTTTATAGTATTGAAAAGTTTATATTCAAGTCCACTAATTCCAGTTTCCATTTATTCAGATCTACTCCTTTGCCTTTTCAGTGCATTGTCCATATCCAATATCTTGGCATTAATCTTCTGGATTTCTCTGTTTGCGAGTTTCATATTGCCTCTAATTCTTTATCTATTTTATTCTATTGTTCCTGTAGTGCTTTTCTGAGTTCTTCCTTGTTTCCCTGTCTGTCAATCATTTGAAGGTACCCAAATATCATTCTCTTGAATTATTTTTTTTTTCCTCAGAAACATTTTCTAGCTCTGTTTCATGGTTTTTTGTTTGAACTACTCTGTCATTTTCGCAGAACTTTGTTAGTATCTCCTCCCTGGGATTCACAACCTCAGTTGCCACCTCTGAGTAGCTCCAACTGCCTGGAAAGCAGACGTTTCCCTGGGATTATATGCTGGTGGAGGCTGGCCTTGCCTCTGGTTACCAAGAAAGTATGGGGAACCAGAGGTAAAAGAAAAAAAATAGCATCTTTGTCTCTATGAACCATAGATAGGTTTCTGCAGCACGAATATGCTTTCTTGTTTCTAAAACCACACACAAACTCTCAACATGGCTGTGGCAAGTCCCATTGGCTGCCACAGCCCAGAAGTCACCTCCTTTCTTGTTGCATCTGCTCTACTCTCTCTCCTAGTAATCTCTCAATCCACTTTTCTGTCTTTTCCGCTGAAGTTCAGAGGTCCAGGACCTTCCTCTGCATCTGTCTTGTCCAGTTTTCCATATCTTTGCTGGAGAGTCTGCATAGTCTGCCATCTTGCCTGTCCCACTTCTCCACGCAACATTAAAAAAATTATCTTCAGCAAAATTTTACCTACATGTGATATTAATAACACTGTTCACTCATTAATGCATTCAATTTGGTCTCTTGTCTTTGGAATGGGCACATATATGAATCCCTTCCAGTGTGTTGGCCAGGTAGCTGTCTCCCAAACTTCTTGACATAGCCGAATGAACACTTCAGCATGGTGTCTGCTTGTTGAAACATCTCAGTTGGTATTCTGTCAATAGTTGGGACCTTGTGTTTTTCCAATGCCAGAAGTGCAGCATGGACTTCTTCCTTCAGTTCTGTTTGGTCTTAATTATATACTACCTCCTTAAAAGTTTTATCACCAACCAATTATTTTTGTATAGTTACTCTGTGTATTCCTAACTTCTTTTGATGTTTCCTGTATTTTTCAATATTTTGCCCAAAGAAACTTTGATATCGTAACTCGAGGCTAAAGTTTTCTTCACTTCTTTCCTTTTGAGAAATGCTGAGCATGTTTTTCCCTTTTGATCTTCTGTCTCCATGTATTTGAACATTTTATAATACTTTACTTTGTCTTCTCAAGCTGTCCGTTGAAATCTTCCGTTCAGCTCTTTTTCTACATCATTTTTTATAGTTGCTTTGGCTTCTCTATGTTCAAGTTTCAGAATCTCTTCTGATATCCATTTTGTCTTTTCTTTCTTTGCTGTCTTTTTAATGACCTTTTGCTTTCTTCATGTCTGATGCCCTTAATGTCATCCCACAACTCACCTGGTCTTCAGTAACTAAGTATTAATGCGTCAAATGTATTCTTGAGACAGTCTCTAAGTTAACTTGGAATATACTTAAGGTTGTACTTTGGCTCTCATGGACTTATTTTAATTTTCTTTAGCTTCAGCTTGAACTAGTATATAAGCACTTGATGGTCTGGTTTGCATTCAGCCCTGGCCTTGTTCTGATTGATGATACTGAGCTTCTCCATCATGACTTTTTATGGAGATGGTTGATTCCTCTGTATTATATCTGGTGAGGTCCACATGTTTAGTCACCATTTATGCTGTTAAAAAAGAGACTTTCAATGAATAGTTCATTGGTCTTGTAAAATTCTGTCATGTGATCTCTGACATCATTTCTTCACAAGTTATATTTTCCAAATTCTTATTTGTTTTCAACTTTCATATTCTAATTACCAGTAACATTCAATGCATTTGATTGCATGTTTGGTCATTTTAGACTGAAGAAGTTGATTGTCGTGGTTAAGTGCTTGAAGTCATCACTAACTCATAGTGATCCTGTATAGGATTTCCAAGGAGCAACTGGTGAGCTTGAACTTTCGACCTTGTGGTTCAAAGCGACGTTGCAGTCTATCACATGAACCCACAGCACCATACCAGGACTCCAGAATTCTCCAGTTTCTTCGTTTTTGGCATTAGTGGTTGATGTATCAAGTTGGATAATAATTGCATTAAATAGTCTTCTTTGTAGGCTTACAGAGATTATCGTATCAGGATAGAGCTGAAAAATTTTTTGATGATGAATGCAATTCCATTCCTCTTCAATTTGCCATTCTGGGCATAATAAATTGTATGGCTGTCCAATTCAAAATGGCCAATACCAGTCAGTTTTTGCTCTCTAAATACCTAGGATGGTAACCTTCAAGTATTCCATATCATTTTTTACAACTTCCAATTTTCCTATATTCATCTTGTACATTCCATGTTCTGATTACTAATGGGTGTTTACAGCTGTTTCTTCTCATTTTGAGTCATGATACATCAGCAAATAAAGGTCCCAAAAGCTTTACTTCATCCACATCATTCAGGTCAACTTTGCTTTGAAGAGGCAGCTCTTCCCCGGTTGTATTTTGAGTGCCTTCCAAACACAGAGGCTAATCTTCCAGCTCTATATCACACAATATTCTGGTGCTATTCATGTTTTTATTGTTGAGTTTGCAATTTCTTTAGATAGCCAGGTCCTTCTTCCCAGTCTGTCTTGAAGCGCTGCCAGAAGCTGTCCACCACGGTGATCCTGTTGGCATTAGAAACACTGGTGACATAGATTCTTGCATCATAGCAGCACATAAGCCACATTACAGTCCAACAAACTGACAGACCAGTTGTGGTTCTTGAAAGTAGGGAAATAATTTACATACATTCTTTTTTCCTACTTAGTCTTATTTATTTCCAACATACTTATTTATAAGATAGCTGGTTTTAGCTAAGGGTCGGTGGTTCCAGCTCACCAATCACTCCCCAGAAACCCTATACAGGGTCACTATAGGTCAGAACCGACTCAACGGCACTTAGCAACAACAACAACGTATGCTCAATTAAAGAAATCACAAAGATAAGCTCTCTCACCTTCTGCACCTCAGAGTTTTGCCATGACCAATTGTGCTAGTTTCTACTAACATTGTGATGGTTCTATATGAATAGTCTACTTTGGGAAAATCACCAAAATTCACACTCATAGCAATGCAATGTTTTATTTCTGTTAAAAAATATTTCCTTCGAAATACCATGTATATTTGGGATCTAGTTTAGTGGTCACTTCTTATGTGTTGGGATCATTCATGTTAGACTGATTCTTAGATGAAATATGGGCTAATGAAAATAATGTAGATTTTTACCTAAAGACGTGCTTTATGTCACAGAAAGGATATTAGAAAAGTAAATTCAGTGGTTGAGAGTGCACTCTAATATTCCATTTATAGTCAATTTTACTTTCTTTTAGAGTGGCAAAAATAGTAGCCCCTAAAAAGATCAAACTATCTGCAGCTGAAGGGGAGCTTAAAATTGCCATGGACAGTCTGAAAAAGAAGCAGGCAGTCCTTTATGAAGTGCAGGCCAAGCTGGCCAAGCTGCAGGACACACTGGAATTAAATAAACAAAAGAAGGCTGATTTGGAAAATCAGGTATGTGATGATATAGACAAATGCATTCTCAATGATTGTACATAGGAATGATGCTAACTAAGAATGTGCTAACACACAATAGCACACCAATCTTACTTTCTCTCCTAAAGTGAGGTTTGGCAAAAGACAGCCTCCAAGTCAAATATGGTTTCTTTTTTGGCCCATGAGTTAAGAATCTTTGTTTGTTTGTTTTTGTATGGCCTATAAGTTAAGAATGGTTTCTGACAGTTTAAAACAATTACATCTTAAATGATTATATGTTGTTGTTATTAAGTGCCATCGAGTCAGTTCAGACTCATAGTGACCCTGTCTGTATAGGGGTTCTGAGGAGTGACTGGTGAGAGCTTGAACCACCAACTTTGCAGTTCAAACAAACTGTGGTCCGGCACATTAACCCAAAGTGCCACACCAGGACTCCAAATGATTCTATAACAAACCAAAAACCAAACCCATTGTTTTCTAATCATTTCTAGCTCGTAGTAACTCTGTGTTACCGAGCAGAACTGCTCCAACTGGGTTTCTTAGTTACAGTCTTTATAGAAACAGACCAACAGACTGCTGGGTGATATGTACCTAACACAACATCCCCAAGTGTTCGTGGTGGCCCACTAAGCCTAAAATACTTACTTTCTGACCCCCTTCAAAAAACTTCTTTTGTAAATCTTTGCCTTTAATTACTATAATATTGAACAATATGATTTAAATAGTTCTTCATTTTATAAACAAAAAAACCCAGTCTTAATTTATGGACCATACAAAAAGATGAATACAGAGCTGGAATTAGAAGTCTTATAATACCCAGGACCATAACAAGTCCTCTGAAAATGTCTTTAAGACTAAAAACTCACCCAGTGAGACCATTTGAAACATTAACTGCTAATGCCTGCTTATGTTCCAGAAAAAATACAAAATACAGCAATGTTGTTGTTGTTGTTGTTAAGTGCTGTCGAGATGATTCCAACCCATAGCAACCTTTTATAGGGTTTCAGAGGAGAGGTTGGTGGGTTTCAAACTGCTGACCTTATGGTTCAAACTGACTTTGTGGTCTAGCACATTATCCTGCAGTGTCACACCAGAACTCCAAATATAACAATTGCTGTTGTTGTTAAGTGCCGTTGAGTTAGTTCCGAACCATAGCAACCCTGTACAGGGTTTCCGAGTAGCGGCTGGTGAGCTTGAACCACCAACCTTGAGCTGCAAACCAACTTTGCAGTCTTGTGCATTAACCCACCGCGCCACACCAGGACTCCAAACACAACAATAGTCAACATTTACTGAGTGAATACTATGAGCAAGATGTTATTGTTCTAAGAACGTTATGCGTTATCTAATTATTTCAAGAGCCTTCTGTGGGGGTTATGTTTTGTACCATTTTGAGGAATTGATGCTTTTGAGTTATGGTGTTTGAGGGTAATATTGAAACTGCCATGGGCTGCCCATAGACCCAACAGATCTGTGTTGGAAGAAGTACAGCCAGAATGCTCCTTGGAGGCCAGGATGGCCAAACTTTGTCTCTCATGCTTCAGACATATTGTTAGGAGGGACCAGTCGCTGGAGAAGGAGCTCATGTTTGATAAAGTGGAGCATCAGAGAAGAAGAGGAAGACCCCCAACGAGATGAATTGGCCAAGTGGCAGCAGCAATGGGCTCAAGAGTGCTAACAATAGTGAGGTTGGCCCAGGATCAGGCAGTGTTTTGTTCTGCTGTGCATGAGGTCACTATGAGTCAGCATTGACTCGATGGCACCAAACAACAACAACAACAAAGAGGGCAGTGTGGTTTCCATGCAAGAGACCTTGGTTTGACTCTTAACTGATGCAGCCAGCATTAGTCAGTGGGAGCCTGTGACTTGTTGTGATGCTGAACTTCCAGACTAAGATAGAGTAGAAAGAAAGGCCTGGTAATCTACTCCTGAAAAGCTGCTGATGGAAACCCTATGGACCAAAGGGTCTGACCCTGGTTGCATGGAGTCACCATAAATCAGGGGCCAACTCAGTGGCAGCTAACAACAACAACAACAAAACAAAGAGAGGCTAAAAACTTGCCCATGGACAACCCAGTTTGTTCATTGTTAAGTCTGAGTGAGATCTGAATTCAAGCAGTCAGACTCTAAAGATGCCTTCTTTCCCATGATACCAAATTGCCACTTTCAATGGGATGTGTAAAAATACATGACATTGCAGAGTAGACAAGGATAGGCAACTTGGACATTGGCTACCCAAAATGGGAGAGGCTACAAAGGCAAGAAGTGACTGGCTTACAAGCTTTCAAGAGGAAACCTAGATCCAGAGGATGTGGAGGAAGGTAGAATCTCCACTGAGTAATATCCAATCTGTCTAAGCTGGGCTGATGAAAGGAAACGCAGATAGGGCTCTTTTGATATAATAGTGAATAATTGTTATCAGGACTGATTGTGAGGGTTGGAAATATAAAGGTAGACATTTTGTAGCAAGGAGG